CTCTAAGGCATTTGTTTAGCTAATTATTTGTTGAAGTTGTTATCTATTTTGGTGAAGGGCCAGGTTAATAATTACATATGTAAAAAGAAATGATAACGCTAAATCTATTTACCGATTGGCACCGGGTGATGACGTCACTTCCGGTTTTAGCGATTTCACGTTAGTAAGAAAGATGGCGGATGTAAGGCTCTTGTTCGCTGCATGTGTATTCATTTTCATCTGTTAGGAAACGTGAAAGAAGCAATGCCGTTAGTTATGATATGTGTCAGTTGACATAGTATAGTTAACATTTGCTATGATTGTTTTAAAAAGAGTTAGATGTGACGTTGAGGAAGTTTATTTACAGTTGTGCATAAGCTAGCTGATACTATGCATTTGAATGTGTGTTGAAGTGTACCACCATTTATAGTATAGATATTGGTTAAATAAGCATAACTGACAGTGTTTATTGTATTGTTTATTTGCAGTTTTTACCGTGATGTTATATGAAGAGTGGACGGTAAATGTTTTGATCTTGCTACGACCTCTTCATTGACTACAGTTTAACTCGGTGTTAAGTCAGAGTATCAACACGCTGCACAAGAACACTAAAGTAATAATAGTGTTAAGAGTTGAGTACAGTTGTGAGGTTTACACTGCCTAGTTTAAATTTATGTCAGGACCTTTCAGTTTTATTGCCCAGTAGTGTGCTCAGCGTGATGGTCTTGGAGATGTTGCTGCTGATGCACACATTTTGTGGCCTCCCTGTTGGTTATAGTAAGTGTGTGGTTATACAGTCAAGAAAGAAAGTCACTTTCGGCTTTTCCCGTTTAGGGGTCACCACAGCGAATCGTCACACTGACGACTTGCATGTTGACATTTGGCACATGTTTTACGCTGGATGCCCTTCCTGACGCAACCCTGACTCGAACCTGGCCACAGCGGCGAGAGTGCTGTGCCTTAACCACTAGCCTACATGGTGCTAATTTTAAAGAATTGTTAAGAACAAGCTGGACTGACCAGCTCCTCCTCTCTACCGATCTCTAGAGCAGGAAACTTTGGAAGACACTAATTGGGTAAATTTAATTAGCACATCGGATTCAGTATTGGTGACACCTAATAAAAACCATTTGGATCAGGGCAAAAAAGCTTAAAATAATATTTTAGAATATCTGATCTCATTATCAAATTTCTTTTTAGCAGAAAGGACTAATGGGTACACCCCTGATGGGTTTGTAGGGTGTTGTCCTGGGTACCATCTTGATGCAGTCTATGATGGGACAGATGCTGAGGCACAGAGTGCAGCCCGTACACTTGTCAGTCACATAGGGAAGGTGGGTCTCTGGATCAAATGTTATGGCCTGACAATAAGGAAATATTCATTACAGGAATGAGGCAAATAAGTCTTAAAACAGAGAAAGTGACAAATATGACAGGAAAGAGAGAACTATTTTATGTCACAGACAGACTGGCATACCTGGTATCCAGAGTCGTTGCAGGTCATGTAACATTTACCACAGTTGATACACATCTCTTCATCTATTTCTACCTGAACCTGAGAACACAGGGGAGGGTCGTCATTGTGACTGATTCATATTCATCTTACTTTTAAGTAATTATCTATGATATTTTATTTGTTTTACTAGGCTTTGTCACTACCCAATGTATGGTAATGTTCTGAGGCACACACAGAGTCTGGCAGTTCTGTTACTGACACTACTGCTGCTGCTATAACTGTATGTGAAATCAACTGGAATTCTCCTAGAATACTTTTATCCTATCATCTTGTTTGAATAAACTTTATTGGAACTGTCACTGGGCAAAAACAATCAAAGGCTTTGCCTTTACGTCCAGTGTTGGCTCCATGCCTTGGCTGGTCAATTGATCTGTACATTTTGAAGGAAGAGGTTAATAGGTTTTAATCTGCCTTTCTGCATGGCCAGAAAGGCAGATTAAAATGTGTAGTATAATCATACCAGATCATACATGACAAACTGTCTGTCCAGGTCCATCTCTGGAGAACATTTATTTTACTATTTTCAATTCTGACTTTGTATTAGACAAAACTATTACTCAGGTGACTAATGATGATTATAACATTAGAAATTCACAGATTCTTATTTAATGATCATGCAACGTTTGGTGAAAAGTGATTGGATTCCTGGACTTATGTTAATTTTAAAACTAAAAATCACATGACAGATATACCTTATAATTGTTAGAATTTAATATGACTACAATTTTTTTAAGTGTACCTGCTCCATGATGTTGAGTTCCTGGAATGCTCCAATGTGCTTCAATGCTCTGGCAATGACATCCTTCAAACACAAACATAACCAGACACACACACATGCACAAAGCACAAATGTTCACCAATAACCAGACACATGCACAAAGCACAAATGTTCACCTGGTTAAAAACAGATTTCACAGAAGAAAGCATAACGCATCATGATTAATAATATTTTTGTGTGTGTGCCTCACACCTTGACAGCAGGTACTGGTTTTTTGGCCATGTTGACCCGAGTGATGTTGGCTTCAATCACGTCAGTTTTACCAGCATCTCTAAGCTGTTTCTTGTACTTTGCAATGGCTTCTGTCTTCTGCTGGAGGTACGGACCAAAGCTAGGAAGGCTCTACACAAACACACACATTGGTCTTACTATAACTGTGAGGACACTCACATACACATTCATAATGCATTCCCTAGCCCCTTCATCTAACCATAGCCATCACAACTAAATGCCTCACCCTAACCTAAACCTTAATCCTAAAGCCAAGTCTTAAGTCTCAAACAGCAACAGCTGGTGAAAATGTCCTAAGTCCCATGATATAAATCTCAAATGGCCCTCACTAGCATAGTACAGCACACACAGACACACACAATTTAGAGGAAAGATCTGATAAAAGTTGAACTAAACAGTTGTGATAGTAGAAAAGTTGGCGTACAAATAATAGAATAATAAATAAGTGGTGTCTCTCATAACAAACATCTGCAAGACCAAACAGCCAATCTAGCTGCCTTTGATTCACTACGTCTCCATAGAAGTGACGCCAATAACAGTAGTTAGTCCCTATAATTGCAATAACAAAATTATTGGTAGCAAGTAGCAGTACCTTTCCAACCAGATCTTCCAGTCTGGGAACTGGTTTTCCTTTCTGGTGTCTCTCTGATGGAGGAGACTGACCGTCCCAGTCTTTCAGCTCCAAGCTCTTCAGGTATAACAAGGCTTTGAGACCTGAACGCATACATTTGTCAGGATATTACATTTAGCATACATATCTCAAAACAGTAGCACCTGGATATGGACATAACTTTTCAGACCTGAACAGAAAGGTAAGGTTAAAAAGCTCTCCAGTGAGTGAATAGAATTATACCATACTGTATAGTACTCTGGCAGCTGTATTGACACCAGTGATGAAAAGCAGTTTTAAATCAGCCACATCAGAGTAATACAATTCAGAGTTTAGTTCAAAATACAGATCTTGTTGAGATAAACAAGAACCAAAAAACAGTTCCCATTGGGTCACTGTTTGGGCTTATTAATGATTTAAAGAATGAAAAGATTTGTCAAAGACTAAGAACAACAAATGTCAGTGCGAAATTCAAAGATAGTTACAGTACAGGACACTGTTAAAGACTTCAGAAAAATTTCTAATTGTTAGTCATTTTTTGTTTTTGGGTCCAATATGCTAGATTAGCTTGATGTTTTTTAAGCTAAGGACAAACTACATACCAACACAATAATCCTCAATCACTGTGAAGTCCTGGTTCTGAATTGCACTGCACACCTGTTGTAATTAGACAGAGGGAGACAGACAGATGTCTATCAACAAGAACATTATCCAAACCAAGTTGTGTAGATTATTTCTGTTACAATCAGTGTACTTTTGTAGAGACATATTTCAAAATTAAATATGCTTTGTTAAGGGCTGCTGCCAGTGACGAAAATGGGGATGGTGTCATCACTTCCCTCCACTATGCAAAAGTGAAGCCAAAATATTATGAATATGGCAGCTGCTTGCTTGCAACCAGATTCTGCACAGTAGTGACCAGAAGTGGAGTGACAGCACTGGACTGCCAATCAAAGCTCTCAAATCAACTGAAAGACACCTCTTTTTATGTCATCAAATAACTTATTTAAAACAACCTTACCAGAGAAATGACCACTTGTACACGCATCAGCATGATAATATCTACCAAAAACAAACACAGAAGTGACCTCTGGGAAAAGTTTGTCTGATTTGTACTTTGAGTTTTTAGTGTGGCTCATGTCACATGCACTAACATGGAATCTAGGTGGATTCCCCTAGAATCCAGAATGGATATTTTAAGTACGTTACCATCTCCCTGAGCCAAGCGGCTGTTCCCACATGCTTCAAGGCTGCCACAATAATTCACATTCCAAAGAAGCCCCACCCAACCAGTAACAATGACTTTTGGCCTGTAGCACTGACTTCAATTATGATGAAGTGCTTCGAGCAGCTGGTCATGCAGAATGTCAAGTCCATCCTCCTCTCTCTCATGACCCATTTCAGTTTGCATACAGGTCAAACAGGTCCACAGAGGATGCCATTTCTGTTGCTCTTCATTCAGCCCTCACCCACCTAGATTCAAAGAACGCTTACATGCATATGCTGTTCCTAGACTTCAGTTCAGCATTCAACACAATCATTCCCCAGCAGCTTACACAAAACCTGGACACTTGGGACTCAGAACCTTTCTCTGCAACTGGGTGCTGGACTTTCTAACAGGGAGGCCACAAAATGTGTGCATCAGCAGCAACATCTCCAAGACCATCACGCTGAGCACAGGGGCTCCGCAGGGATGTGTGCTCAGCCCATTGCTCTTCACACTGCTGACCCACGACTGTGTGCCAACCTACAGCACCAACCACATTGTCAAGTTTGCAGATGACTGTAGTTGGCCTCATTACCAACAACGATGAGGCCAACTACAGGAGTGAGATGTGCAAACTGGTCCAGTGGTGTAAGGACAACAACCTCTCCCTCAATGTGGGGAAGACTAAAGAGATTGTTGTGGACTTCAGGAGAAAACCTCTAAAGCATCCACCACTGACCATTGACAGTGCTGTAGTGGAGAAAGTGAGCAATACCAAGTTCCTGGGGGTGCACATCTCTGAGGACCTCTCCTGGACCAACAACACCACATCACTGGCCAAGAAAGCTCAAACACACCAATACTTCCTCTGCAAACTGAGGAAAGCCAGTGCCCCACCCCCCATTATGCACTCACAGCCTCCTGCCTTCAGAGAGAAGGTACTGGAGTCTTCAGGCCCACTCCACCAGACTTACAAACAGCTTCATCCTCCAGGCTGTGAGGATGCTGAACGCTGTCCATTACAAATTCCTTGTATTTCTCATAATAATACTTGGCTGTCCTCCATGTGTGCACAGCAGAGGGAGGAGGGTGAATTACAGGGCAGGTATACTTTGTACACTAGACCAAACTCTAGGAGAAGGGAAGGCCCCATTCATATCTCTGGGACAGGTTTCTGAGGTAGTTGAAAGTTCTTGAGCAGCAAGGTGTGGATGAGATTTGCCCTGAGATGCTTAAGGCTATGGATATTTTTGGACTGCCTTGGCTGACACACTTTTTCAATGTTGCATGTAGGTGTGCTCATCACTGCACTTTCTAATTATTAGTAGTTACAGTAGTGTAATTATCACCTGTAACAATGACGCCCCAACATGGAGAAACTGTAGTCCACTCTCTGCAGAGTCAATACCGCCGGTGGCCAGAATAGGGAAACCAGGAACTGCTTTGGCGATGGCCGATATTGCTCTGAGGACGATGGGTCTGATGGCATTACCTGCACACATTGTTAATATTACTAAGTGCTTGGGAGAATCGCCTCACTAGTAGCTACCTCAGTGTACTGTATACGTTTGAGGATAATACTGGTGTCTTTTCATTTTACCTGCGAATACTACACCTACAGTAAATGGGTACCTAGACCTCCTAGACCTTTGGTTTGTGTTAATTTCAATACCATGTGAAAATCAGGATTCTGAGATTTGATGTTTTCTCTTTATTGGTAACCATCACAGTTACAGCCTTACTTTTGGGTCAAAGTATGTTGTCATTAAGTGGCAATGCAGTGGCAATTAGAAACTCTTCCTTCATGGTGCTTTTAATCTCAAGCCTTTGTATAGGTGACTGTGTGTGTCTGTGTGCAGATTTGTGTCTACACTATGTATGTTTGCTTGTTGTCAGCTATTATTCATATGAATCACTTTTTCCTTTTGACTTCCTCTTATGAATCTTTCCTTTGTGAGACCCTCTAGGTTTATTGGAAGTGCAATACAAAATTGACCCTTGACCCTGGTTATTAACAGTAACCGATAAAAAGGGATTGTGTAGGTGTTTGTATGTTTGTGTATGTCCTTACCAGACACCCCTCCATATGTGCTGCGTTTGTTGATTCCAACATATGGCCATGGGGAGCCATCTGCCCTCAGTCCCATAATACCTGAGACTGTGTTGGTGGCGGTGACTCCATCCGCTTTACCTATGAAACAGCACAATTGTAACAATAATCAACATGTATGCTAGACATTTTTACATGTATACATTGTCAAATTTGTATTATTCAGTACCATGTCATGACAAACAGTAGCAGAAATGACACTGTGGAAAGTAAGTGTGATGAAGTGTGTTTACCTTCATAAGCAGCCCTGGCAATGTCAGCAATATTGGTAACATTTGGCGTTAGTTTGGCAAAAAATGGAATGGAAACAGCCGCTCGCACCCAGAGACATATGTTACGTACCAGCACTGGGTCCTAGTGACAAACACACACACATAAAAGCACACCTGTTCATTTTTGTTAGATTAAGTGTGTGTGGTCCGGCGTTACTCATGTTGTGAGGATGTAAATCTGTTTACACAGTTACACTGTGGGGACTTGCCGTCCTCATGGGAACCAAAAGAAAGTCTCCAAAAAGTAAATAATTTCATTTCAGAATGATGACATGGTTTAAGGTTAGGGAAAGGGTTAGTGTTAGGCAAGGAGTGGTTATGGTTGAGGTTAGGGTAAGTCTCCAGGAAATTAAGTAAGTAGGTGTTCTTGATGTTTCTTATACGATCGTTCATCAGTCTTCAGTTGACCCAGAAGTCGTTCCTGTCGTCCGAGTATTGAGGACATTATATCAACTCTGAGGAGTGAGGATTAAGCAGACCAGAGGAACCATGAGCAAGGATGCATGAAACGATCCTTTGTGGAAGTTTTATATGAACTGACATGCCCATTTATCAGAAATCAGTTGGTGATTGGATGCTTCAGATGAACAATAGGAGGAAAGGCTTTTTTCAAGTTCTCTCTCCTTGCATATTTTTCTCACATCTTACATGGGTGGGACTAAAAGGCAAGGATAAGATGAAAGTGAGGGGAATGACGACCCATATAAGAGACTTGAAAAACACCCATTGTAATATCCACTGAAGTTATGGAAACACAACATGGGTGTGTATGTGTACCTGTCCACAGGCCAGTCCCATGCCTCTCTCTCCCATCCCATGAGGACAAGACAGATTTAACTCCAGTGCATCTGCTCCTGATTCCTAAACACAAAAAAGTTTCTATTTTACACCTTCCCAAACCAAACAGTTATAACCTTTGTATGTATTGTGTTTATAATAATTACACCAAAGTTATGACATGCACATTCTCTGAGTGGATGTGACTTGATTGTGTTTTTCTCACCTCAGCCATCTTGGCTAGTTCAGTCCAGTCTTGCTTGTTGTAGCTACACATTATACTTGAAATCACCACCTGACAGAGACAGAGAAAGGTTCATTTTTAAATGTGCACCATATTCCAGGCCCACACAAGAAATGTGATGTGACGTGACGAGAACCCTACATTGTTGGGGAAGTCCTTCTTCAGCTCAGCAACTGACTGACACCAGTAGGCTGCTGTCTTCTCACTGATGAGCTCAATGTTGAGGAAAGAACCTTGACCTGGTCCATACACATGACCAGAAGTAGTGCCACGCACAATACGAGGAGACACGTTGGTCACCAGATCCTGCAGGGAAACAGCTTTATTACGATGACATGACATTCTCTCTAACAAACAGTTATTCCCATTTGAACTTTTTTTTAGAACTTGCGTAATGTCTTTACATTTCCAAGCATCCGTAAGAATACCTAAAGTAGGTAAAACAATATACACTCAGTTGGCAGTTTATTAGGTACATATAGCTAGTTGTGCAATACATTCTCTCTTCCTGAAGGTGATAATGTTCAGTTTTTGTTCAAACTTTTACAGAGACATGTTGATTAAACTGAGTAGTTATTTTGGAACATGTACTGTAGCTTGTGCTACAGAGGGCTGTTTCTGTCATTTAGCCTAGCCTCACTGATAAAAATAATAGAAACACCTGTCATTATAATGCAATACAATTAAAACAGCAGCACAAACTAAAGCTTCCAAAATGGATCGGGATCAACAAAGTCAGAAATGTTGCAGAGCCTTTTTCAGAGCCTTGTAGCAACACTTTGTGGACTACAAACAGCTACTGTAATGCTGCAGTTATTTTAAGGATTATTTTGAACTTTCCTTTACTCCATTAGATACAGTAGGTGACCCCTGACAGGAAGTGAGTGGAGACATGCAATAAGGGTCCCCGGATGGACTCACAACTCTCCATCTTCTTATCACTTTTGCTACCAGGTATTGTGTAAAATTAAACCCATTGTTGTGCACTTTTTATCCATGTGACTGCTATGTGTTTGCGTGTTTGTGTGCACCTTATTCAGTGAAAATGTCTTAGTCACAGCGAAGCCCCATCCTTGCTCAAAAGCTCTTCTGATCATAGGCATGCTAGTGGTGGGAGTCGCAGAGGCCAGGCCAAATGGGTTGGGAAACTTTATTCCACAAACCTCAGTGCTGATGTCCACCTGATCTATAGCACTGTAGAACAATGGCAGCTTAGGGACTGGGTCCACTGTTTGTCCATGTAGGGACTACAGAAGGAAGGCAGGGGAGATAGATATTTTAATGACAACTCTAATATAATAAATCAAATGTAGTTAGGCCTGTATTGAACACATGACGTACTCTTGTATACTGCATTCGGAAGCCAAATCCTATTATTACAACCACCAAGGGTGGGGGTAACGTTTTAACTGGTGTTTGTTTGTTGGTTGGTTAGATTGTTTACAGCATAACTCAAAAAGTAATGAATGGATTCTGATGACATTTTTGGAGGGGTAATGTATGGCCCACAGAATAACCCATTCAATTTTGGTAGTGCTCTTGATCATCATCTGGATCCATCCATCCATTATCTATACCGCTTATCCTGGAATCAATCCCACGTTGGGTGAGAGATGGATTACACCCTGGACTGAAAGTCTCAATCCCTGAACCCTCAAAGACTTTAGTGACATCACCTGTAAGTGACTGAGTACAAGAGTCTGGAAGGGCTGGAAATTGTATAAATAGGAATGAGACAGTGCTTTGTGACTTAGGCTATCACATCACCTTGACAACACCAAAATGACATCATGGTTCTAACTATTGTGGATTTAGATCTTATACGTTTCTCACTTTCTTAACAGCCAAGATACTTAAGGGACCGACTGGCTGATTTAAACATGGTCTAGGCTCTTGCCTGACAGAGTGATCGAGGGGCAACTGTCAATTACCTAATCAATTTAATATTTTTTTGTCGAAATGGCATCATTAACCAAAAAGGAAAATAAAAAGTTGATGAATGAAATGAGTGGTTAACATAGGATGTTTATGTTTAAGTTGCAGTATTTTTCAGATGTTTTTGTCCAAAGCAGCACACAAAACACTAGAATAACATAAGAATGATTGTTCATTTACTGTCAAAATCTCGTCGAATTTACCTGTATGTATCTGTGAATATGCCATGAAGCCTGTTTGCCATCATTCACTGATTCGACGGTGGTGTTTGCCAAACCCACAACATCTCCTCCTGCAAACACCCAGGGCTCACTAGTCTGCATGGTATCTGTGTTCACCTCTGGGGTACCCCAGGTTGTCATCTTCACAGGAGCCATGGATTCTGTCACTACCGACAGGTTAACATATGACAACATGTTATTGCCCCATTAATGTTCTGCAATCACCCACTCCATCAGTCAGCAACAACTACAACAAAACTGAAATGGTCAAAGACTTCATTTTTGTTTTTAATAATAAATACTGGTTGATTGCATACAGTACAATATACTGTATGATACAATTTTCCTACATCCAATATAAAAAGTAAAAACATAAAAACAAACATATAAACAAAAATACACAAAATTAAAGATAATACCTTTCAGAAATCAAGAAAAGTTTTACGTAGACCCTTGGCTTCATCACTACTAATTATAAAGGCAAAGCATACAGTGTCAGGTGACTGGTTCTTTACCTTGTGGCTCATTGAGCATGGAACCAAAGGCACTGATGATGTAGTCAGCCTTCAGCCTGACAGTTTGGTCCTCATCCTCCAGCCAATCACCTTCCTCAGTTTGCTCGGTGCGACAGAACTTTAACCCGGCAACCCGGCCATTCTTCATGATGATCTCCCGAGGAGACAGAAAGGGCAGGAACTCACACTGCTCCTCCTTAGCCAGGTCCATCTGACAAAAAAACACATGCATTCAGTATTCTCTGTTTATCTATGTGTCTAGCAGTTGCTCTGTCCCACATTCATACCTCTTCAGGAACAGCTCTGATGTTAGTGAACCCCTTCCTGAAGCAGACGTACACTCTCTTGGCTCCACAGCGAAGAGCTGAGGTGGCGCAGTCAAATGCAGTGTCACCAGCCCCCAAAACAATCACTACACCTCTTAACTCTGGCAGAGAAGGGCGACACGCACACATGCCTGGACAAAGTGAGACAGAGACAGAGACACAGTAATGTGAGATTGATTCTGAATAAGAAATATTTTGCAAATCTAAATGTATTTTATATTTGAACTAGCCCAGGTTTAGAAGGTTGGACATTTCCATATGTTCCCTCTTTTTTAGACCAAAGCTCAGTGTGATTGACCAGTGTGATACAAAGTGCAAAACTGAATGGATATGGAAGATGTTAATACACCATCAAAACCACAAAATGGATCTTGACCCATCTTTTCACTTTGGAATACTACAAGACTGACTGGCTTTTAAAGGGTTTCGAGATTTATCCTTGGCTTCGAAAATATGAAGAGTGCACATTATAAGCTTTTGCAGTAGTTAGGGTCTGATGTGGACTACATCAATTCAGGCAAATCAACCCAATTCAAATAATCACTTAATATTACAATAATTCCGAACAGTTCAATGAGAGGAACAGAATCACTGTTTCTGCCTGGAAATAAACAAAAGTATTAGATAAGAGAATTGTTGGCCACAAGGTACAGTCATTCAGTCTGAGTCCAGAGTCCCCTCTCCACCCGGCCGGGTACAAACGCACACTCACGACTGCAGCACCATCATCCTTCCTTCCTCTGACCCACAGCTATCCCAACTTTTATTTTCTCCCGGTTACACCTCCCGTACACTCCCCTCCTCCTGGGAATTGTCTAGTTTAATTTACACTTGACTTCACTCATACCTTGCTTGCTGGCTGAAGCCACCATGGGTAAAAAGTCTTTAGAAGTGAAGAAGCCTTGATCCATGGTTAAACCCTCGAAGATTTTAGTTCTGTTGGCCTGAGGAAGACCTGGAATTACACATACATGCAAAATCACATACAGAGACACACACACATATACAGTACAGTAATGCACTGTAAGAAAATGCATTCTAACACAGGTTGAATAGATACAATGTGATTGTTACAGGGCAGTCCAACAATTCAAAAAGTCCATTATAACATAGTCTCACATAGATTTGCCATATGAAACCATGCTTGCATAATAGTTGAAAGCGCACACACATACATATACATATACTGTATGTGTACCACTCTTAAAGATGGATTCAAATGTGTAAAGCCCCACTGGATGAACTTTAGAATTTACATCCAAGAAGTCAAAAGCAAAGCTAGTTTCTAAAATGATTTATAAGAGGCACCCACCAATCCCAATGAAGACAGCCTTAAATCCTTCCTCTTTCAGGGATGTCAGAGTCATACCGTTAACACCCAGACCCTTCTCACACACCACCTGTGCACGTAAACCAACACACACACACACAGAATTTTATAACATAACTGTAGGACATTAATGGTCAGAAAGTTCTTGATAAAATAATAATGCCCTACTTAATTTTAGGTCCAATATTCAATCAATCAAAACTGTGTAAGTATATTATCTTTACTATTATCTTTCATTTGATCACAGTGTGAATGTAGAATAAATACTACTGAGGACTGTGAGGCAAAATGGGTTGCTTGTTTAGTGCTGATTTCGGTGATTTTCCACCCAGCATGGTGGTCTCAGCATGTTCAGTATTTCTTAACATGCTGAGGCAAATATGACCATTAACAACAAAAATACCTAAAATTCACTTTTATAGTCTAACAACCAAGAGAAGAATAAAACAATTATTACATCATATATTATATTATGTTCATGTAACCTTGGACACTACAAACACCATTTTAAATGATGTATCAGGACAGCATGAGGTGCTACGGTTCATACCTTTACTCCCAGGTCTTTCATCAGCTCTATTTCAAACTGGACCACATTGTAGGGCAGCCGGAACTGAGGGATTTCTGATGTGCTGCATGAAAGGACATAAAGTTTTCAATTTCTTTTTCTAAACCTTATACCCTGTTGGAAATTGTCTGAGAAGTATCTCCTCTTACCAGCTTGAGTTTCCAACATGCAAATTAAATAAAGGGGTACTAGGAGTGATTCTTTGCATCTCCTCAGCACTGTCAGTGAGCCTGTCAATCTCTTTCTGTCACAGGCTTGCATTCAGTCACAGTGACCCTGCCTTGAACCAGCACTCCCTCATTAACACCAAATAATGTCCAAATTATCCTGTAACTGAACAGTCAGATGACTGTCACACTTAAGATTTTGCTAAATTAATGCCACTAATTCGTTTATTATTATGTTTGCTCTTACTAAGGGTTTTATATAAATTTAAAATGGTTACATCACTTTTAATATATCTTAATGTATTTTAAACACCTGTTGTTTAGAATTATGTCTGCTACCTGTGTAACTGTAGTTTTTAATATTCTCACAACTCATAGTATTTAAATAGAGAATTTCATGGATACAATTTACTATCATACTAAACAATGTAATTACTTGACATACTTTTCAATCATGCTAGAATATGCAGTACATTATGGAGATGATTATATGTTACCTAAGTCCTCCAGTGTACTTCTGTCTCTCAAATATAGTAATATTATTATATCCAAGACGGGCCAGGAAAGATGCACAGCTGATTGATGCGGGGCCACAGCCAATCAGAGCAATAGGGCTGTTGTAAGACTCTGGCATCTCGCTGGCTGGTGGGAGTTCTGGATTCCTTATTTGAGCAATGCCCATCTTACTAAACACCTAGGAAGATAACAAACACATATGAAAAAAAGCTCTATCAACCTGAATATATGGTAACTCTTAACACAATAGAGTAGAATAGAGTCATAAGTTTGCCCCCCACAAAAAAAATCTTCTCCTTAGGTTTGAACCATTGTCTCTTGATGAAGACAGTGAGAACTGGTTGTAAAAGCTAGTATGTGACTTTAGGTTAAGAAAATGTGTTACTATTATTCCCTACTAATAATACTAACTATTATTCCCATTGTCAATAATGATCTTTTATACTCACAAAATAAATAAAAAACTAAACTCAGAAATGTCAGACATCACGATCTAACATTAGCTATGATTAGCGAACCAGTTGTTATACCAGAACAAATAAGGCTGTAGCAACAAAACCCTTAAGTGTACTGAACTTATCAACACTTAGATTTATCACTTATAAATTCAACTTTCCATATGCCAGTGAAACAATATATTATTTCTTCTTTTAAAAATAACAGCCTCACTTCAACATTACCTTAATGTAAACCAAATACTTTTAATCTTAAACTGAAAGACAAACCCATGAACAATATTCTGAGTTTACTAATTACAGTGGTGTGAAAAAGTATTTGCCCCCTTACTGATTTCTTATCTTTTTGCATGTTTGTCACACTGTAATGTTTCAGATCATCAAACAAATTTAAATATTAGTCAACGATAACACAAGTAAACACATCATGCAGTTTTTAAATGAAGGTTTTTATTATTAAGGGAAAACAAAATCCAAAACTACAAAACCCTGTGTGAATAAGTGTTTGCCCCCTAAACCTAATAACTGGTTGGGCCACCCTTAGCAGCAACAACTGCAATCAAGCGTTTTCGATAACTTGCCATGAGTCTGCCACAGCGCTGTGGAGGAATTTTGGCCCACTCATCTTGGCAGAATGGTTGTAAGTCAGCCGACTTTAGGTTAAGAAAATGTGTTACTATTATTCCCTACTAATAATACTAACTATTATTCCCATTGTCAATAATGATCTTTTATACTCACAAAATAAATAAAAAACTAAACTCAGAAATGTCAGACATCACGATCTAACATTAGCTATGATTAGCGAACCAGTTGTTATACCAGAACAAATAAGGCTGTAGCAACAAAACCCTTAAGTGTACTGAACTTATCAACACTTAGATTTATCACTTATAAATTCAACTTTCCATATGCCAGTGAAACAATATATTATTTCTTCTTTTAAAAATAACAGCCTCACTTCAACATTACCTTAATGTAAACCAAATACTTTTAATCTTAAACTGAAAGACAAACCCATGAACAATATTCTGAGTTTACTAATTATGCTGTTGTATAGCAGACACATAGATAATTATCTAATAGCTGTATATCTGTATGTATATTGCTGAATAAACATTTTTGGGGTTTTCAAAAACAATAACAATCATTCACATATTGGACATATCAGTAAAAATGATGGTGACATAAGCTGAGTCATCTGAGGAGCTGCTGGTTATAAACTTCTACAGTTCTAGTTTTCAAAGACAGTTCTAGAAACTGTTAATGTTTCATACAGACACCTCAGCAGCTGTAAATATATTGTACCTCAGTTGCAAACTGTTGCAAGCCTCCGATGTTAATAGGTCCTTCCTCAGAGGCATACAGGTTGCAGCCTCCTACACACAGGTCTGATGTTGGACAAACCATTCCACAGGTTAAACCCAGGGGGTTGTCAGATAGGATGGCTCGCGCTGCCCCATAGTAGTTCTAGGACATGTATACAGACATTTACCATAGTGTTGTTACCTATCACGATTAGCATATTCAGCATGATCTTTTTTTATTTATTTTAAAGCATAAGAATACCAGTCAAAATAAGCTGTGTGCATACATGCAACTGAGGGTATTTATTTTAGAATACCTTGTTAGAAATACTTGTAATAAATGACTTGATGTCCATATTGGTTGGGCAACTCTTCTGGCAGGGAGCATCTGCGCATTTTAGACATCTAAACACAGATTTGACTTTTATTTGACAGTTTAACCATGATTAAAATCTTTGTTTCTAATCAGACTGGGCCAAGACAGCAACAAATGTCATGGCAAACATCCAACATTGAACAACAAAAGGAAATTAAAAAAGAAAACCTTAAAAGTCTTGAACATTCTACAGACTACAATCCAGCTGAATGTCACTGAATTTCAGTGGTGCTAAAGTCAGCAAGCTAACATGTTTAACAAGCGTAATGCTTACCATGTTCACCATCTTTGTTTTGTTGTGCTAATTAGCATTAAACAAAGTACAGCTGAGGACACAGCTGAGGACACAGCTGAGGATCACTAGTGTTGTAGGCTTTTGGGAATAAAGCAAGTGAAAAAGAATAAACATAAAAAAATTACTGAAGTTTTCACCTAATGATGGTACTGTACTAGATGAAAGGTCAGGGGGCCAGCAAAGTGATGTGGTGAACATGACTGTGTGTATCAAATATCATGATAATCCACCCAATAGAGAATATGACGTTGTCATCACACTGTGTTGAATTTTGGGTAAATGCACCATTTTAGGAGATCACACTCATCCATCACAGAGATACTGTACAGTATACACTGCATACATCTATAAATTAATTTTAAAAAATACTATCTCATACAGCTACAGTAGCGGATGCTTCAGCTACATTCAAACGTCCACTTTAGTGTTCAGTCTGAGCACAGGCAGAAGAGAATTTGATTTGTCTGCAGTTTGTGTCATCTGCCGACAGCTGCAAACTAGGGTCAGCTCCCAAACTGAAGAGTTACGACCAGGGTGCAGTCATTTTATTAGCCAAACAAAATAAGAATGTCTGCAGATAAATACAGCACATATCTGCCAAATGGTGCCCTGTCCCAACATTCAACATGGCTTGATGCGTTTTTGTAAAATTTAATGACAATCTATTCAATAGTTGTTGAGATATTTTAGTCTGAGCATCCCTGAAGGCATCCTGCTAGCATGACTTGAAATTGCAGCAGTAACACTCAATGCCTGCAGGTGGCACAAGTGTTAAAATTGCAGCAGTTATTACTTCCCTTGCCTGAGGGAGGTGACATCAACATGTCTTCATCTGCAGTTCTAAATGACTGTGCTATTAACCTTCCTTTCCTATAAGTGGTGCAGTTTAACAGGCGTGGAACTGTTCTGGCAATGACCATTTAGCTTCTCACTGCAGAATCCTCAGCCTGCTAAATGTAAGTGAATGAATTTGCAGATGAATTTGTGAACTATGCATCTAAAAATAACCAAGTCATTCATCCTCACCTCAGTGCTTCTCGCAGAGCTCCACGCTCGCTCAGTGTTGTGTGTTTGATATCATCAAAATTGTTCTCTAGCTTCAAACAAGACTGAATAAACAGGAGTGGAGGAAAAAGAATGAAGACAGTTATGAAGAACAATTAAACTGACAACGGAAAATTGGGGAAAAACAAATGTATTGATGATACCATGCAGCCAGCATCAAGTTGTGCATCTTTGTGTGTGTGTGTTAGCTTATATCTTACACCACAGTTCCGTTCAGGGTTTCTCTTCCAGTGTTTCTTTTCTTTCTTCTTGTCTGCTGTGGACACGATCTCAGCATGAGTTTTTACCCTGGGATTCAGAGCCAGGATGTTCTGCAAGAAATACAGTGAAATACATCTGTACATCAGTAAAAAGAGATAGGACTCTAACTCTTGATTCTTAGGCTTTCAAACACACAAAAAGAATTTGGTTTATTTCATTCTTGGTCTCTATTAAATACCTATAAAAACAGATTTCAAGGATGACAGAAAGGTTCTTTAGGAACAGCACCTCACGGGTCAAAAGGAGGGTGGAGAGGATCACTGCAGACCCCTCACACCCTGGACACAATCTTTTTGAACCCCTCCCCTCTGGACATGTACATACACACTGAGAGCCACTGTACCAGAGTCAAATTCCTCATGTGTGCAACACACCTGGCCAATAAGGCTGATTTTGATATGAGGCTGGTTTTAACAGATCTCAACAATTTATGAGCGTTATCAGTTGGAGACTGCTCTGAATATCGCAATGTGATGTTTTGTGAGGTTCCAGTTTCTAATAGTTTAATATCAGGTGTCAACGGAGCTGTAAAAGTGAGAAAGTATGGAAAAGGCCCAGGAAAGAAGTAATGAAGGGGCACAGGTAGTTAAAGCAGTGCCGGCTCTTGATGATCCGGTATCAGAAATGACCTTACAGGAGGAGCTTCAAGAAGCCATTAAACAGATTGTCTCTTTACAACTAGAAGTCCCACATGACCAACAGGAGGATTTGCAAGAAATACTGAGATGTCCACTGTTTAAGGAGGCAGAGTCCAAAAAGACAAACAGACAAGGAAAAAGATGAAAAAGCATCACTCAACTCAAAGGAAAGCACACCAGTAACAAAAACTATCCTAGTGCAGGAAGAAGAGTATATGAAGGAGTTGATAGTAAACTTGTATTCCCCCCAATGGAGGAGGAAATGGCAGACCTGTGGAAAGAAGAGGATGATGAAATGGAGGAAAATGCAGAATCATGGATGAGTGGAAAAAAGAACTGGATTTCAAGGAGAAAGAAAAGCAGCAAGAGAAGTTGGAAAAGAAAAAAATAATTAAAGAGCAACAGCTAAAATGAGTAGAGTAGGAAGTTAAAATATTTAGTAAGCCAGGATAATCATAAGACAATTTATGGGTTCTCTGTTTACAATAAGTAGTATTCAAATGTGTAAAGCTCAAATGAGAAATGATTGTATTGAAAAATGAATAAAAGTGATTTCACATTTGGAGAGAAATGTATAAGTGAGAAAAGGAGAAGAAGACCAAATCAGGGGAAAAAACAGAACTGAATCATGGTGACAGGCACTTCCTGGAGTGACCAAGAAGATAATGCAACAGCTGCAACTGACAAACTGCCTGAATGCCAGAGATTGTTATGGTTTTGGTCCTGTGCTCCCTGTTTTTCTGTTGTTTTTCCATGTCTCTCCATGCCTGTCACATCCTAGCCAGCATAATCAATCATCATCATGTTCACCTGCTACTCATTACCTCCTGGTTCAACTCCCCATATATATGCCCTTTTCCATTAGTTCCCTGCTGGTTTGTAATCACACACGTGTTTCTGCACTGCAAGACGTTTTCCCCCTGCTCCTGCTTGAAATCTTACTTGTACTTACCTGATAGGCTGCCTGTTTCCAGGTCTTGTATATTGGCTGTGCCTTTGGCTATCTGTTACCTGCCTTGAGTGTCTTACCTGCCATCTCTAGTCAGCTGTCTGCGTTGAGAGACACGTCACATTGACGGTTTGAGCCTCAGTCTCTGCCTGCTCTGAAAAACTCCATCTCTAGATGTTCACCTCTCCGGTGAGCACCTGCCTCCATTCATCTCCAGTTCTACCTCTGCCCAGAGGGCCTGCTACATCTGCGCTGATTGTCCTCCGTGGTTCCTGCCTTCACCTTCCCATGTGTCCCCAGCTTTACTCGTTCAGCCTGCCTCGTCCCCAGCCCCATGCTGCTCCTTCCACCTGCCCCGTCCAAGACTCTACTCTGTCTGCCAGTCCAGCCCAGAACTGGCTCAGACTCTGTTCTTTCTCTCTCTATTGTCCAGTAAACTTATTGTCATACACAGTAAACTCTACTTTATATCCAACTCCCTCTGTGTGTGTGTGTTAGTACATTGGGTCCAGCCAATACGGGACATAACAAAGATGACTGTTAGTTGGCAGAAAGAGGACATTTGTTTTGGAAAGGACGAAGACTATGTGACAAGGAGCCTTTAAAAACCACAGAAAAATTAGGAACAGGAGCTTGTACAGCAGTTGCTGCCAGAAGCTCTGTCCGATTGTTTTTCCAGAAGTTCCAGAAGACTGAGAAAACTAGAGAGCAGCAAGCCGAGAGCACATCTGATTTGCAGCTTCTCCCCTACAGGCCACATTGAAAATACTCAAGTACAGATACCTCTAAATTGTACTTAAGTAGATGTACTGTTATTTTCCACCACTGCTTGAAACTATTGCTTCATCTCTAAACATGCATGCCAGCACCTCCTCCCTGAGCGTTTGTTATGCACAGCATGTTACGTAACACCATAAAACCATATTAGCACTACAGGAAATGAACTTTTAATCTTTATTGCTGTGGCATGTTAAAATGGCAGAATAGCATATTGTTTAAGAAAGGGAAGAATAGAGCATGCAACTCTTTGTAAAAAACTTTGTAAAAAAGAGCATTTTGCCACCCAGGCTATAAAATGTCTGCTGGGACAGCACACAAACTGTTGAATCAGTTTTTCCACCTGTCATATAGTTAATGGTATTTGACTGTAGGTTCATTCTATTCATGCAAATCGTTTAATGGTGTAGTAGAGTCCCTAACAGACAGTGATTATTCACTATTCAAGTCAGAGCCTCTTTGTCCCTTTAATATACAGTATATTATTTGCTATAAAGCATTACAAACCAGCCAGGTTAGAAAACATCCATGTGCTGCATATAAGTAGTGGCAACACAGTATATGTCAGCTTATTTCAAGCTCTTCAGTATTCAGAGCCATCAATACATGTAAAGGGTTAAGAGTTTGAGGTGGTTTCACTCCCACTTTCATTTTTACTTGATGCGTCATTGAAGACAATAGAGAAAAAAAAGAGGAAAACCAAGAAACAAAGACATACAATGATTTACCTCAATGTCTGGAGGATCTTTACTCAACATGGTTCTGTTGGGGCTGGGAAATAAAGCCTTCAAAGCCTGCTTCTTGAGTCTGTTGTTGGCTTCTGGATCGGTGGTCTGTAGCACTGTGCACACGTTCTGCACCAATTGGGATGGTCTGAGAAGAGTCTGCCCCAAGTGGGACGGTCTGAGAAGAGTCTGCCCCTACCAGGCACACTCCATACACTCCTCTCACTAGAAGAAGTGTCAGATACAGTGTAGCCAACTATTTTCAATGGAAAGTGGCAAAGCCTGCTCAAGAAGTTGCTATATGTCACCAAATTAAACATCAATTTGATATTGGTGACGCAACAACCTAACTACTATGTTTACATATAGGCTGTGCTACGTTATTAAAAGTTAAGGTTAAAAAAATGAAGTCAGACTAATTAGATATATCAGTAGATATGCTTTTTTTTCCAACTGCTATCATCACATCACTATGTATATAAATCTACCTCTAATTTCAAAACCTTATGTAGCCTGTACAGACTATGGATATATCATGGACAGAGTGGGCACTGGATTAACCTCAACCTAGTAAACTCTGTGTATTTTCAGAAAAATACAACCTAATTATTTATTTTTAGCTTGAAGAAAGAAAAAGAAAAATCACTTTACCCAGACAAACAATGGGGATCAGTGAGTGGTAATTCAGGCACGTGTACAGCTCCCTAACGCTTCTCTCTGGCTGCTCATTGGTTGACTCAACATGCAGCTATCCTCACAGTCAGTCTAGAGAGGTACAACCACACAGTGGAAAAACTACATTGAAACTGTAGCTTTGCAAACTCTGTTACTTCACACTGGAAGAAGCTGAACTACAGCAAAGCTACTCTAGACAACTAAAACAACTTGAACACTGGTCTAAAAGGGCCCAGCTTCTACTACTACTTCTCAGAGCAGAATCTTCTGTTCATATAACACATGTGGAGTCTCTCAATGTTGTTATTCAAAAGGCAGTTAGGGTTAGAAAAGCAATGGTAAAATGAAAATAAAAAATCATTCCTTTCCTTTTATGGCCCAAAAATTATGAAATTGTCCCGAACAGTATCTTTGTAATATAAACATGCAGGGGGAGGCTGCAAATATGTGAAATGAACCATTTTCATTTTATATGTTGATTACACCTATTAGGCCAAGCAGAAGAAGTTTCATACCAATAAAATACTTTTAACTATTGTTTTTACATTTTTTTTTTAAAACTTTACTGTATATACAATATAACAGGAGGGTTAAGACAACCAGTAGACTGGTTAAAGGAACCATACAATGTCTTTTCTGTCAGAAACCTCCTGATAAGGTACAGGGTAGACTGACAGATAGTGCTGTTATCCCTCTCTGAGGGTCAGAGTTCAGCAGAGCCAGGCACTGGGCCAATTTCTAGGTCCATTGCATCCAAGCTCTGATTAATCAGATACTAAAGAAAACGATCTGGTCCAAACTCCACCTCATGAATCTATGTTTAACTCCATGCTGGAGGGCTCTTGTCCAGTCTCCTTTCTCTTTACAAACCTGATTCCAAAAAAGTTGGGACACTGTACAAACTGTGAATAAAAAGAGAATGCAATGATGTGGAAGGTTGAAATTCCAGTATTTTATTCAGAATAGAATATAGATAACATATCAAATGTTGAAAGTGAGACATTTTGAAATGTCATGCCAAATATTGGCTCATCTTGGATTTCATGAGAGCTACACATTCCAAAAACGTTGGGACAGGTAGCAATAAGAGGCAGGAAAAGTTAAATGTACATATAAGGAACAGCTGGAGGACCAATTTGCATCTTATCAGGTCAACTGGCAACATGACTGGGTATAAAAAGAGCCTCTTAGAGTGGCAGTGTCTCTCAGAAGTCAAGATGGGCAGAGGATCACCAATTCCCCCAATGCTGTGGCGAAAAATAGTGGAGCAATATCAGAAAGGAGTTTCTCAGAGAAGAATTGCAAAGAGTGTGAAGTTATCATCATCTACAGTGCATAATATCATCCAAAGATTCAGAGAACAATCTCCGTGCGTAAGGGTCAATGCCGGAAAACCATACTGGATGCCTGTGATCTTCGGGCCCTTAGACGGCACTGCATCACATACAGGAATGCTACTGTAATGGAAATCACACATGGGCTCAGGAATACTTCCAGAAAACATTGTCGGTGAACACAATCCGCCGTGCCATTCACCGTTGCCGGCTAAAACTCTATAGG